TTTTTATTTTATTGATTTGACGCAAGTGAGTCAATATTGTGGGTAAGGTAACGTTAAACCATGCCGCTAATTCCTGGGTAGTTTGACTAGGATCGGCTTCCACTATCTCTCTTAATTCATCGTTATTCACCTGTGTGGGCGGTCTTCCTGGTGACTCGTTCATTAAGTCGAAATTTCCATCACGAAAGCGTTTAAACCAAAATCGCACGGTGCGTTCATTAGTAGACCCCTCTCCAAACGCAGCATTGATATTGCGGGCTGTTTCTGCCGCGTTGGTTCCGCGTCGGAACTCGTATTCAAAAATCGCTCGAATTTTCGCAGTATCCATCTTTCTTGTCTAAATTGAATAACAAAAACAATTGAAAGTCGATATTCAAATGTTTCAAATTAAAAAAAAAATCACAGAAACCATTTGAAAAAAGTTTCATTCGAAAACCTCAAACCATGAAAATTCTATGAAAATTCAAAGAACCTATTGCAATAAAACGGCAATTTCATACTTTAACCCCTAATATATTTACGCAATCGCTAGCGATAACTCTCACAGTAAGCTCTTCATAGAGGTACAGACCTTAATTTCAACGTTTAAATGAAACGTCTTTACATTTACACTCAAAAGGTGTGAATTTATACACAAGGGTAGGTATTTAAATTGTTTCATTTTTAATTTACATCTTATACGAATTGTTGGATTTTTATAAATTATGATTATATACCTACCACGTGTTAAACCGAAAAACTGTAATATAAACTGCCTCTGTGGATGAACGGTTACCATGCCGGATTGTCACGCAGAGGTTCGATTCCTGGGCCGGGAGAAATATTTGTATGGTCTACATTTATTTCTCTCACGAGTTTGGATGTAATTTGTTGTTGTCTATGTGTGAGTCCATGGCACCTGCCACACAGGGTTTCCCTAGTGTGTGGGGCTATGTTGAGTGTGTGCGTTATTTCTATTAAAAAAAATCATAAACAGCACTTTGTGAAAAAGTTGCTTCAAGGATATTTCGGTTTTTGTAATTTTTGAGTTTAATAACATAAAGGTATACAGTAGCAGTGGAGTGCCTTGTGAAAGAGTTCGTCCAGGGAAGTACTATCACCTTACCTGTTTCTGCTGCCATGCAGTAATGTAAGCATTTTTGCGTCCCGATTTTCAAGGGTAAAGGCGCTGTTGAAATTACATGTACATGGAACTTGTCAACTTATGTCTCAGGGTGACCGGTGCTGTGGCACCGCCTCTAAGGGTCGTATTCCAGAACTCTACTCAATGCTCAAGTCAGGACTTGAGCAGACTTGAGTATGATTTCAAGCACCCTAATGCCAAGGACTTGAGTATGATTTTCAGTGCTCACTGCAATACTGAAGTCCTGAATTGAGTATTGAGTAGAGTTCTGGAATACGACACTCAGATCTTTGAGATTTGAAGCTCTGAGTAGTACTGCAATTCTAATGAATTGGCTTGCCACTTGCCACCAGGCGCGCGACTTGTTCGTCCCGTCACGTGTATTATAAAAAAAGACATTTTATACATATAACATAGATGTTTGGTTTGAGATTATTATGTATTTTTATTACGCGACGTGAGTTATAAGTTTGAAGCTTTTGTCTGTCGGTCCGTATGTCTACTTTGGCGTAGTAGCTCTTTAACGGAGGGACCAATTTCTAAGCGGTTTCTTTTATTTGAGGGTTAATTTAATAGAGACGGTTCTTTGCTATATTTGATGAACACCGATGACTCTGATGTTTATAATATGCCAGACAACCACACCAATTGCCTGGTCTTAAACTAGAGAATTCCCTGAACTATGAGTACCAGAGCAATTTAAGCTTTATTTCCCAATTCGTACTACCGGGAATTGAACTAGAAACATCCCCAACCAGCGCCCAAAGTACAAACTGTTGAGTCATCGACGTCATCCAAATTAAAGATGAAATTAGATAAAATTGAACAAAAAGATAACTTTGTAAATTATGTATTAGCCATCTTGCTTATTTTATAGCTGTCTTACAGGAAATTTCGTAAATTCGCGTCGCGTTTACTTCACAAGAGACAGTTAGACGATGATGTAAATTAAACTCACGCTAATTTGACTTGCGACGTGCCTCCTTCAATTACAGGGAAGACGCGTGACGGTTTGACGGCAAACACGCTCTAGACTACAGCTTTAAATATCCATAAAATATACTTGTAAGTTTTTAATGCATGTACCTATTTTTTATTTAGGAGAAAAATTTCTAATTTAGTAGCCAGTAGAGCTTCCCGTGAAAGAGTTCTGCTGCCAAGTAGTTAATATGAGCATTACTTTATAACGGAGGATTTTAGGCTGAATGTACCGACTTTTCCAAAGACAGTTACCGGACACCCACGTTCCGTCACACGTCGCAGTCCACACGTATAAATAAAGTATATTATCATATATTATTAAAACACTATTTATTTATTATTGGTGAAATTACAGGCACATGGGACTTGTCAACGTATGTCTCAAGGTGACGGACGTAATGGCAGTGCCCCTCAGATCTTTGCCATTTAAAGCTCTGAGTGGTACTGCAACTGTTATGGACAGGCGTGTAGGCCATCAGGCGCACGATTTGATCGTCCCGTCACTTGATGTTATATATAAAACATATACATATATATATTATTATGTATGTTACTCTATAAGGTATGCACGTGAGGCGCACTATAAGTTTCCGGAATGAATAAGAAAAAAATACTATAAATGGTCAGAAATGAATTTATTGTTTCTCTACATATTCTCCGTTAGCGTTAATGCACTTGTACATACGAAATAACCAATTTTAAAAACACTTATGCCACTCCTCTAGGACAATCTCTGAAACATATTTTTCATACTCTTCGACAGCCTCTTCAGGTGATGAAAATCGTTGACCGCGTAACTAGTTCGTAATTTTTGGAAATAAATAAAAGTGACAAGGTGCCAGGTCGGGACTGTACGCGGGATGGCTCATAAGGTCAACGTTGTTCATGTTCATTGCTAAAAGCAGTTTGGAGCTGAGCAAAACTTCGCTGAGCTGTTAAATTACACATAAAGTCGTAGAAAATCATACTACGAAAAATTTCACGAGTTAAACCCATGGTGATGTAGACAACCAATTTCTAAAATGACGCCACTATATAAAAAGAAATGACAGTCAGATAAAACAAACTGTATTCTACAGCCAAAGAGTTCCATTTTCAAATGTTGTAATTACTTTTTAAATATTGTTTATGTAAGTGGCCAGTTCCGGAAACTTATAGTGCGCCCTATGTATTTTGATCTTGGTAACCTGATGATAAATAAATAAAAAATAACTGCATTCCGGTAGCATTACTGTATACTGGTAGTGCCGCGGAGTGAATTCCGTTGTTCCAAATAATTGGCGATATGCAGAACTGCTAATTTCTATCAACTAAAGCCGTGGCATAAACTTCTGTTTTTTTTTTTTGCTATTTTTCTCGAGAAAAATATTTTCCACAAGAAAATTAAGTTGTAATTACATAATATCTTTGCCTACATTACTCACTTCTCTGAATCAACCTACTAGAAACATGTCAGTTTAAGGAAATAAGAAAATCCGTTAGCTCTTTGAGAAATGATCGTGTTCCTTGCCATAGTAAGAATATTTGCTGAGATTGGCATGAACGTAAAACTTGTAATCTTTCATCTTTCAGCTTTATCGTCAAAATGTAGCTCAAGGCAGACTCGAGTCACGTTTTGCCTAAAGATATGAGTATATCTCTTGTTAGATGATGTCTTCGCTGTCTGAAAAATGTTTGAACAAAACTTGGAAGCACTTTGTTTGGCTTGTGTGATGTCCTTAAGCGCTATAGCTATTGCTATAACCCCTTCATAGGACACCTAATTGAGGATAAATTTTTGTTACGACACCAAGCTATAGGTGTTCGTCTCATCTCTAGTATCCTTAGAAAATAGTATAATGGCAGTCACAAGTTTAGCTATATAAAGACATATTAAAAATTTTAAAACCTGCAAATTTTAATGATATGAGATAACAGTTACAGTGCTGCTCAGAGACTTAAATTGCGAAGATTTAAGGGGCACTGCTTATGCACCCGTCACACTGCGACAAAGTTGACAAGCCCATGTGCCTGTAATTTCACCAGTATCGTTACCCTTCAAAACTGGAATGTATTAAATGCTCACATTACTGCGTGGCAGAAGAAATAGATAACGTGGCGGTACTTCAGTTTAGATATTCTATACATGATTTTTTCTTATTATGTTATTATTATACACGCTCTATGGTCACGGGTTGACTGGATAGCCGCTGTAATAAGCCTGTCGCCATTTCCTAAATTTTCTGTTTTATACATATAGACCTTATGACACTTACTTTGTTGCACGTTTCGTTTTAATTGATAAATATTGTTATATTGAATAGGAATTGCGTCTCCAATCCCTTTTCCTTTTTGTAGTGTTTATATTTTTAGGACGATTTCGGTGGCCCAACGGTTTGCACTGTGGGCACTGAATGAGGTGGCCCCGAGTTTGATCCCCAGTAGAATCAGTTTGAGGAAGGACCTGGACGTCCGTGGCCGAACGGTTTTCATGCTGGACTGCCACGCAGAGGTCTTTGTATGGATATTTGTATGGTCAACATTTATTTCTCTCGTGAGTTTGTAAACACACAGACACACACACACACGCACACACACGTAGACGGTTGTCTATGTGTGTGTCCATGGCACCCGCGATACAGGGTATCCCTAGTGTTAGTCTATGAGTGTGTGCGTTAAAAAAAATTCTAAATTGATTCTGGTCTGGGTGATCTGGGATGTGCCCCGGAGTAAATTCCGTTGCTATGGTCCCCATAATACAGAGAATTGGTGTGGTTATCTGGCGCATTATAATTTTTATTTTTGTTTACATATTTATTCCCTCACTCTAACTCTGTCTTTCTCCTTCTTTCTTTCTTTATTTTCTCTATCTTTTCTCTTTGTTTCTGTCATTATACTCCTATTTATTAATACTCACCATCAGCATCTTCATTGTCGAGCATCTTGTCGAGGTCTCTGTCATCGAAGCTGTGTAACATCGTGTTGAGAATTGTTCGAACTTTCTCCCTCTCAATGCGGCCCTGTTTGCTCGAGTCAAACATGCTGAACGCTCGACGAAGCACTGTTGAGGAAAAAAACCATTTTACCTACTAAAACGGTGCGTATTTAGACGTGCATCTCTAGCATGCGATAAAAGTCAAAAGCGACTTTCTTGCTAACCTATCAACGTTAAATTGACGCGAAATTCGACCTAAAGTGGCGCTCTTTATCATATTTATTAATCAATGTTTACTAATTAAACACTAAATTGTAACAGGGTATATTGAGTTCTTTGTGTTTCGCGATTGTTACATATCGGAGATGAAACTATTTTTTAAGCAAACCTAACGTTTCGGGCCCTTCGTTGTCAGCGTTGTCAGCCGTGACAATGGAACCTGTATAGAACAGGGTGTGTCATTAAGTTCCAAGTTCAAAAATTTCAAAATAAAAACATGACATATTCAATTATTTTTTGTGAAATTACTCCACTAGTTTGTTATAATTATTAATACAAAGATCGAACACTCAGAAAAAATTCCTTCGACCGGATCGAAGGATTTTTTCTGAGTGTTTTTCCTGAGTGTTCGATCTTTGTATTAATAATTATAACAAACTAGTGTATTAAATATAGTTTTAGGGACTTGGAAAATTTTATTTAAGTTAAATAATAATTTCCTTAGCTGTATGCATCCAATATTATTAAATCAAAATATTTTCTGGAATTATCCGATTCCTTATTGTACAAAATCGGAAACTACAAAATCAATGCAGATAAAATTAAATTTCAGTAGAATCAATGCACCAGTTTCCCTGTCTTCAAATGTAATGTACTTTCGTACATCCGCCGGGAGCTCCAAATCGATAGCTTAGTTCCTGATGTCTCTTTCCATTTGAGCTTCACTCGCGCAACATTTCAGATAATCGTTTTACGTCTTTTTGCACATTTATAAAGTCATTGTTGCGTATTATTTGGATCGGTGGGATTTTTTAGCTTATTTAGTCTCGTTTTAAGTCCACAATGAACCGAATTAAAAAAAGGAGCAGGTCCTTAATTCGACTGTATATATATTTTTGTACATAATTGTTACGGCATTTGTGAACCGATTTTGATGATTGTTTTTTTGTTGGAAAGAGGGTACCTCAGTAGTGATCCCATTTAAATTTGAATAAAATATTCCACCTCAAAGGGTGATAATTAGGGGATGAATCCGGTTTCGCGCACTTTCCGGTAACCGGTTTTTTAATACTCTGTGCTGAGATTAGTTTGTATGAATTTGAGATTTGTTAGTTATCTAGTATTTTTAAATACACAACATATTGTGTTCTACTTTTTTGTGCCCCTAGCTTTTTTTTCATCATCATCATCATCAACCCATATGTACGTCCCACTATTGGGTACGAGTCTCCTCTCAGGGCTTAGGACGTAGTCGGCCATAGTGGCCCAATGCGGGTTTGGGAACTTTACATGTTTTCGGAGGGTTGTGATGGGTTTCTTCGACGTGTAGAACCCACGTCCTCTGCTCAAGAGGCGGTAGGTCAAACCACCAGGCTACCGCGGCCAACGAATATTCAATAAAATGAAAAATATATATTTCTCGAAGTTTTTTTTGTGAATTATATCAACTGATAGATGAGTTATAAAAATATTCGGAAACTACAGGGTAGTACTGCCACCTTACCTATTTCTGCCGCCAAGAAGTGATGTCCGCATTACTGTATTCCGGTTTTGAAGGGTAAGAGTGCTGGTGAAATTACGAGTACATGAGACTTGTCAACTTATGTCTCAGGATGACGGGCGTAGTGGCATTGCCCTTCAGATCTTTGCGATTTAAATCTCTGGGTGGCACGGCAACTGTTATGGACAGGCGTGTAGCTTACCATCAGGCACACGACTTGTTCGTCCTGTCACTTGATATTATAAAAACAAAACACCTGTTTAAGGACTTTTATTGAATAATTGGATTATAGAACGTAATGTGCCTCAATTTCAGGACGTAGTTACAAATTTTTTGTAATGATTCCGCGAAATAAATAATTCATTCAGTACTGTGACGTAATCACTTGAAAATTTTGTATAATAATTACTAAACGAGGCAACGGATTCATAATTACGCGGACTAGTTACTGAGCAGCTCTCGGAACAGTGAGCTAAAGCTCTTTTTTTATCCATTTGTTTACACCATACGTCACTTTACATAGCATTCAAACTCATCACCCCTTAAAATAAGGAAATGTACCAACATCTATAGAAAATGAATTCAGGTTCAGGAGATACAAATTTAATGACATGTCTCGAGGTGCAACTGAACCTGGGACTGGATGCGACTTAAATTTAATTATTTTTAAGAACAAGCCCCGGGATCACACGATACTCGCATTTGGGCTCATTCGGGTTCCGTTCAACTTTAAACCGACCCCGGGTTGAGATGTTACAAACCCAATTTGACGACCTGAGTGGTCGACTGGCTTGCGCACCCGTTTTCAGGGCGTCGCCATCTCTAACGTCCCGAGTTTGATCCCCGGTCGGGTCAATGAAGAAAATCTTTTCTAACTTTACTCTGGGTTTGTGGTTTTTATATAATGTCAGTTTTTATATAGCTACACTTCTGACTCGTTGTATGTGTTTATACTTTTACGCAGACACCATTTTGTTGCTACGGCCATTAAACTATTTGCTAAGACCACAAGAGTAAATAAAATAACAATATCGCAACTCTTGCTGTAATAAGGTCACATCTGCAAAATGTTAACTTTTCAGGAGAGAGGCTTAAAGATTTTACTAACGAAATTAGTCCGTAAATTTTTCACGTATACCTACATACTTTGTTTCAGTCTACATAGTTTGTGTAGGCCATATTATTTTCATGACTTTCCTGCTTTGACCTACCAACAAATGGCCGTCGGGACTAACAGATAAACCACGAAAATAATGTTCGGAGTTAACATATACAAACGTAGTGACACGTAAAGAAATGTCAAAAAAAAACTAAAACATGTAATCGAAATCGTAACGCCATTGCAATACTGCTTAATTTTGCCTGCAACAATTTAAATGCCCGAATTTCACCATAAACTCAGCTTCTACTGGAAACTTAACAAAATGCGCCCGATTTAGCTTCTAGTGAAAATTACTTAAACAAAAGACTAATGGAGTAGCGTTTACCTTTTTAATTAATTTATATATAATAGTATTATGTTGAATGTGGAGCGTAACGACAGTTAGCTATTTGATTATTTTGATTGCTTTTGTAATTTTTACAAATTTTTATACCGTATAGGTTCGGACACTTTTTAGCGCGGAACCGACATCCATTTGTTGGCAGGTGGTATGATCACATGTGACTTTAATACTTATCTTCTTTCTCAACACTCGATTCTGTCGAGAAAACACACACATGCTTCAAAAGTGTCACGAGGCAAAATTCATCGTTTCATAAACCGCCCACAAAGGCTCATACTGAAACTTCCCTTTCGGTAAAAAAAAATGAAAAATTATCTCTCTGAAGTTTGTTAAGTGTTCCATTTGATGCCTGGTCGGTAGGGAGATTACTGTCACATTTTTACTAGCAATTTTTGAGTTGTGTCAGTGTAAAGGTCGGTGTGCAAAAAAGTTCCTTTTAAACATTATTTTATCGCGAAACGAACTTCATAAGCCCTTGCTATGCCCGAACAGCTCAACCATCGAAGTCTAAACTGTCGTGCTACGTAAATTTCGTATAATCCATTGAGTTTTCCCAAACTTATTAAAGTACAATTCTCCTATCTATTATTCGGTATAAATGGACAGTGGCTGTAACTCACAACTATGAAGTGAAAAATGGAAATTTCTCTTATGAAATATGGCCACCGCTCCATTTGCTTTTTAATCTCAACATTTTACCAAGAGTGTATTCTCTAGTATGAATAGAAAGATTAGTTTTTTAGAATCTTTTATTCTAGATTATCAAAGCGTGATTTGTTCCCTCAACAGAACAGAGATAGGGTAGATGCGTACAAATCGTTGCTTTTCATTACTAGTGGTAGCATATTCGAATGTTTTTGTGCAATTTTTTCCCGTGAATTGCAGTCGAAGTATGGAAGCGGCTTTTTACTATTTTATTATATTTTTTTCTTTTTTTAAATCCCGACATGAATGAAAATTAATTGCGCGACATGTTACGATTTTTATATTTTTGAAGATTTTGGCTCACTATAAATCTTATAGGTTTGATACAACTGGATCTGAGTATTATAACAACACCTAGAAGAGTCAATTTTAAAGATAAGCGATGGTACGCGTTTGGTTTGCGCTTTACAATTTTTTTTAAATTTTACACTTGATCTATATGTACTTGCCTTGTGAAAGAGTTCGTTCAGGGAAGTACTGCCACCTTACCTATTTCTGCAGCAGTAATGGGAGCATTATTGCGTTTCGGTTTGAAGGGTAAGGGGTGCTGGTGAAGTTACAGGCACATGTGACTTGCCAACTTATGTCTCAGGGTGACGGGCGTAGTGCCAGTACCTATCAGGGGGCCTACCACAACCTCTTAAAACAATATTACTTTAACCTTACATTGTCTTTTCGTACCATAACGCGGTTAAAGTAAGCTTATTGTAACGTTAAAACTATGATGTTTTATTGGCCGCTTTGCGACTATTCATTCACTCAGTTCGTACTATGACGCGACTTTAACATTAAAGTAATATTGCTCTTGTGTCAAATTTTGCAATCTTAAAATAATTACACGGATGCAATGGAAACAATATTATTTTCAGTTTTATTGTCTTAACATTGATTTGTAATAATTAAAAGTTAAGTTGAACTTATTTATTTACATATATATCTTGAATATTTTGTTCATTTTTTATTTAATAGCACATAGGAAATAATTTCTCGTTGAATAAAAATACGCGCTGTTTATTTCGTAAAATTATGACAGTGCCATCTAAATGTCATTGGCGAAACTAACAGTTGATACCAGACTTTAATTCCGAATTCACAACGTGACTATCAAGACTCAGCTTGTTTTATTTATTTTTCTTCATGAAAATGCGTAAAAATTGTTGAAAACAACGTAATTTTAATAGATTTTTATTATTACATACTTTTCTTTTCTTAACAGTTAAAATTCTCTGAATGTTACATTATGTCATTAAATATTATACTACGATAAGACGATTCGGAACAGCAACAAAGAAAGGGATGGCATTATATAGGTAGTTCACACACACAGCGTTATCTCTTTCCTAGATTTAGTAAGGAATATACAATATTGGGAAATCATTCGTTCTTTCAATCACTAACACTACAATAATACATTACTAGGTTTACAGGTTCGTCATGGTACGAATATGAGTAATATTATAATAAGCTTATTTTAAGCTTACATTGAAATAAGATGTTTTTTAAAAGGTTATGGTAGGCCCCCAGATCTTTGCGATTAACAGCTCTGATTTTTTTTATGTAGGCAGCAAACATATATACAAACGTATATATATATATATTATATGACGACACCCGTCAATTGTTTCGAATTCGGGCGGAGCAACTGGAGCGCAGTTGTTATCGTAATGATTTCGCAGAATTGTTTTTAAACAAATTAAATGACATTTCGTCTCTATTTCTGGTTATACACTCGATGGATGACACATATGAATGAGGCATTTCAAAAATATATAAAACTGTAAGTAAGTAAATCATGGTAATTGCAAGTAAATGAATTACAGATTAACTTTTCAACTCTTTTGATACAGCGAAGATTTATGCAGCTGCTGATTTTAATCCTGAATTTCCTTCTGGAATATACGGATTATATTAAAACGGGACTTAAAAGATATTACTGCGAGTAGTAAAGTAAGTACTACGCTGTTCCAGTATTGAAGGGTAATGATACTGGTGAAATTATAAGCTAAAATTGATATAATAAATAAAAATTAAATCAGATAAAAAGAAACGAGTACCGTGATAGAAATTTGGAGCGGAACGTAACAAAAGAAATCGATCACCGTAACGAAAGAGATCAATCAACGTAAACGTTTCACGTTAAATCAACGGCCGTGCGCCGCTACACAGCCCCGTTCTATTTTTTTTTTGTTGACGATTAGGCCTCTGTTTTGAAATGTTCGCTCCTTGTTTATTGGCAGTGTTATTTATTTGTTCGCGATTTTACTTTTTTTATGATACCAACGTAAGGGACGAACAAATCGTGCACCTGGTGGTAAGCGACACGTCTGTCCATAGCAGTTGCAGTGCTACTCAGAACTTTAAATCACAAGGATCTGAGGAGCATTGCCACTTCCGTCACCTTGAGACATAAGTTGACAAGTGCCATGTGTCAGCACTTTCACCAGCACCCTTACTCTTCAAAACTGAAACGCAGATAAGCGAAAATTTTTTAGGGTTGCTAACTCTCTCATTACTCTAATTCATGGCACTGGAGTGTCAATTCCTGTGCGATGAAGAAAATGTCGAAGTAGAGAAATATCGAAAAATTTTCGTCTCAATTGCAATGTTTTTGGTATTTTCCGAATTTTGAGATAAGCAGCAAAGACCAGGATATCACACGCGTATCCGTATGAAAACGAGACAGATGGCTAAATTTTGACACAAATTTGATTTATGACTGAATTGACGCTACAATACTTTTTTGTTATTTATTTATTGAGCATTCTCTATAAAACCGTCAATTTAAAAAGATAACAAAGAATTAAGTAACTCAAAATGTAATGTAACCTAAACCAAAAATTAAGTTGTGTGAAAAAGTTTGACCACAAAACCCGCCTTCTTGAACAAAATCAATGTATTGATATTTGTTTATCAAGTATTAAAAAAAGGACGTATAACGTACCTTGAAACTATAAATATATGTGTATTTACGTTTATCACTTCCTTCTTTTTAGTTATTTCAAATTTGACAGATTTTGATCTTTACTGAAAAAAATTCTTCATCGATTATGCTATAAATATAATCATGTTGTATTAATAGAGGTGTCATAATCGCTTCACGTCTCTTTTGATAGTATAAAATATTTGTACATCAAAGATTCCAGTGATATTTTCGGTAGACATTAAGGATGTAAGATTATTTTAATATCGACAAAATGTCGCAGTGAACATGAATCGACTTCCCGTTGTAACTCTAGCGTACCTATTTATTATTATTTTCGCAAAAAATAGCGCCATATTTTGTTGTCGAAAGTCAGCCGCGAAATTGGTTTTCGCTCTTGTAGTATGAGTATTGTGACTATGAATTTGGCTTTATACTAGAATGTTCCGAAGAAAATATCTTTTAAAATATTCAACATTAACATTGACGATTACTATTGTCAGAGAGAATATATATTTATATTTCTTATTCATCATACTCGTATATTCAATTAGTGACGATCATATTATGCCTTGACATCATATTTCAAACTGTAATATTGTAACATTGATAACATGAAATAAAATAATTATATTCTGTTTTAGAGCATTTTGTTATAAGAAAATTAAAAATTCGTCATTATTTTGTTAATAATTCAGGTTAATGCATAACTTTTACGTCTGTTAAATAAATATATGTAAAATAAAACATTTTTTATCTAGAAGTAAACAAAAAACAAAAGGAAGAGAAAAAGAAATCTAAATTTGGTCAATATTGAAAATGTAATCAACAAAATGAAAGAAAGTCAAAAGCTATTTATATTCTCTAAAAACTCATTTAAGGAAATAATTTTATATTTAACAATTTCCTTGAGCGTGGTCACAATGAGCATAAACAATACAAAACCGCAGCTCCATGTGGCTTAGCAATTTGGCTACTGGTTTTTGTTTATATATTTGAAACGACTGTCGCAGTACCGTATTTAAATTTCGATTAATTTCTATTCCATTTTCAAAACCGTGCTTTAACTTTTTTAAATTGTATATTAAAAAAAAAGCAAAAGACTTAACATTTAAATGTTTATGTATCTGCAGGGAAAGTGAGAACAATATGGTCCAAACAAAAAATAAAATATTGTGTTAAATTTATTGTAAATATTCTAATATTATGCATTTCTCGGAATATAAACCCAAGTAAATTATAATTATTTATTTGTTGTTTCTATATAGAAACAGGTCATTAATTTTTATAAATTAGTTTGATGAGTAGGCCAAATTTGATAGATACAGATACGATTTATTTATTGAGAAATAATTAAGAAACTCAAAGCATAATAATATATTTAAAACTGTAAAATATTCGTGGGAAAAGTGTACCTACAAAAAGCCGCCATTTTTCAAATTTTTCATAGGTAAAGTTTCCATTTTTTAAATATTTCAAGGAGTGTGTTTTCAAATCTACATTAACTATGTATACTACATACGTATATAAAGTGTCCATTTGTTAAAACTTGCTTCTTGGAGAGATAATTCGTATTGAAGATTACATTTTTATTTGTACTTACACTATCTCTACGGTACACGTAATTATTCTTCGCTTTTAAAGCTAGTACATTACTTAAGAATTGCAATGTAATACCGAATATTCAACAATAAAATTACACAATATAAATAAGAATTACATTTGTACCTTTAAAGAAACTTGAAATATTTGTATTCCTTTTGTTAAGTTCGTAATTATTAAGCATCATTTTACATGATTGGTGCTTTAATAAATGATAATGTGTTTTTATAAACAGTCTATTTCAAACTTTTGTGTATCATTTTAAATTATTTTTAACTATATTTTAGATTCGTTTAAAGCTAGGGAACATTTTTGTATACTTACTCGCAATCTGTTCGTCGTCAATTTGAGTGGTCTGCAAACAACAAAACCAGGATATAATAAACCACTTAAAAAAAAAGAAATTAATTACAAATCAATAAAAAAGACGAACCATTTTGTAAATTTGAATTTCGAACTCTAAGCTATTGGTGTTGGAATCTAGCGCAAACGCAGTGATCGCGACCGATCTGGCCACCAGCGAGTTCGAAATTTAAACTAGCACTGGAATATCTTGAATGTTTAAAGTCAACAGTATGGAGACAATAAACGCCTACTGAAATGTGAGGCAGTAAAGTTTTCTAAACGCGATGATCTTGTAATAAAGATCACTTCTTCAAACAAGCAGATGAGAGAGAGAGAATGACGACGTAATAATTACAATCCTCTTTTATTTTTCGTTTATTTTTCACACTTCTCATGCACTACTAACAACTAATAGTGTTAAGTGCATGGTGAGGCCGTCTATAATTAGAGTTATATGTAACGTATTACTTAGCATTAGTTATTTTAAGCTTTCCTACATGTAAGTCTGTTGATGGTCCATAAATAAATAAATAAATAAATAAATAAATAAATAAACACTAAAACGCCTTTATGTGATGCTTAAGAAACGGTATACAGGTGTGGTATTTCTTCACGACTAGTTCGTTCCCCCCGCCGCCCTCTTGGCCTGCCTGTCTTAAAACGTGTAAATTGTGTGCAACATTTCTTTACATATAAAATAAAATAGTGAGTTCCCAGTACAAAGGAGTTATTAATTAATTAGTTCCCGGAGTGACATACTTCATAGTGGTAGATGGAGTACTCTGGAAAAGACATGTGGATCAGATGATCACTTGTCTCAAGCTGTAGAAGTTTAATTATACACACATACGTAAATATAATGTATTGCTGTATATTTTAAACTGTAGAGTACATGTATTAGTTAAACGTTATAGATAAGGTACTAATGAGATAGATCTTACCTTTCAACTGCCTTAGTGAGGTGACTCGATTCCAAGACAATGTCGTAGGGCTAAAGTGGTTGAAGGACGGAACATTTGTCTTCATGGTATTTCTGAACGACTAGTTCGTTCCCCTCGCCGCCCTCTTGACCTGCCTTTCTTAGAACGTGTAAATTGTGTGCAACATTTCTTTACATATAAAATAAAATAGTGAGTTCCCAGTATAAAGGAGTTATTAATTAATTAGCCCCTCCATCGGGAAATACGGAAATATAATAACAGGCAATAAAGAAATGTCTTTTTCCATAAGTATTAATTAAATAACTTCGAATTATATCTTTTGTATCTTCGTCAATTTACAAAGCGCCATTGTTATGAAAATTATGTCTCATTTTTTCTCTAAATCAGAGTTATTCTTGTTAAAAATATGTTCCATTTTCTTATTTAACGTCTTCTTTTGAATACCAAGCTCATTATAGAAGATCGATGTACTCGAGTTACGCCGCCTTCAACATCAAAGAAAACCTTTGGAAATGCTGATTTCCACGGAACACAGATGGGTTGCATCTATTTGGAAAATTAAATTTGTTTGCTTTTATAACCGACTTGAAAAGGAGGAGGTTCTCAATTCGACTGTATTTTTTTTTTAGTGTGTTACGTGATTACTCCGACAATTGTGACTTGATTTCGATGATTCGTTTTTTGTTGGAAAGGAGATACCTTAGTAGTGGTCCCATTGAAATTTGAAGAAGATATCCTACCTCTGAGTGTGGCAAATTAGGGGATGAATCCGGTTTATTGGATATCACCAACTTTCCATTAACCGATTTCAATAAAACTTGGCAAATAGATGTCATTCCACAAACTTTTAAAGTCAGTTTTTTTTTTACAAAAATGTTATAACTATTAGATACAATGATCGAACACTCAGAAAAAATTCCTTCGATCCGGTCGGATTCGAACCGACGTCTTCTTGCATACCGTGCCAGACGCTATACCAACTAAGCCACGGAACGAACCTACGGACCTCACGAATTTTTCTATGTGCTTGCGTCGTGTCTTTGTACTTGGACTTTCAACGACTTTTTAGTCGTAGCGCCATCTATGAGAAATCTATTACAGATTTATCACCCAGTTAGTACCTTTACAGCTACCATTTATATTTAGATTAATTTTTTCTGAGTGTTCGATCTTTGTATTAATAATTATAACAAACTAGTGGAGTAATTTCACAAAAAAATAATTGAATATCAATTCAATAAAAATTTAATTATTAGATACAATGTTAGAAAGTTTTAAAACAGTCAATAGGGGTACGTAGACTTAGTCATAAAGAGTAAAATTTGATTTAGTATTGAACCGCGAGGGAGTCTTAAAATTAAAATTCACTTTTTTGTTAAAAAAAACAGCTTTTTTCCTTTGTTAGCGCTGGCTGACAAATGGTAGGTTCACCTTCTTTTGTTTAGCTGATTATGTCACTCATTGTGAACGACTTAACCAGAGTACATAGATATTATATAAATACTTTTATTTTACAGTATAGGAAAATTACACGGTTTCTGTATTAAACGAAACACACAATAATAAAAATAATAAAATAGAGATTTAAGTAACGAGTTACAAGTAGAAAATATCATTGAGCAGTGGCTTGGGGCTTTTTTAATCGACTTCAAAAAAAGGAGGAAGTTCTCAATACGATGGTATTTTTTTATGTATATTACGCAATTGCTCGCCAGTGAAGCGATTTCGATGATTCTTTTTTATTGGGAAGTATTACAGTATTAATCCTATATAAATTTAAAGAAAGTATCCCACCTCTAAGGGTGGCAAACTAGGGGGGAATGCGGTTTCGCGCACTTTCCAGTAACAGATACGTTTGAAGCCGGTTCCTTTTTAAAAAAAATATTATGGTTAAAATCAGTACGCCTTTGACCTCTATGACATCTAAAGGAACGGACGACGATGGAGCATGGACATCTATATAATGCAACGAGCCCTGTACCCCACCTACTACGGTGAGATCGGCCTCGGGCTGCAGCGCGTGGTCGGGTTTACATTACGGGGTATGCTTATGCTGCGGGTACGCCATACCCGTAGAAGGACCAGTCAGCAGTGAGACTAATTACACACGGTACCGTAACAACAACGGCACCGTTGCCGCCCGCCGCTGCTGTGCAGTAGTAGTAGTCATCCTTGCATTTGTATACAAACTTTCATACACGCGTCGCAGCAGCGGCGGGCGGCGAGTGTTGCCGCAACTCTCTACTAATGTTCGACTTTAGTAGATGACGCCATATGGGCTGCATTTGCACAGCTGGTGCTGCAATATGACGTCATAACTCTTGTAACGGCGCTATGTGTAATCACCCTTACGAATGGTATTATCTTCAACAAAAAGAAGAAATGTCGAATATAACAATTGAAATATCATATACTTTAGCATAAATCCCTTGTATGTATATACATATAAATGTATCTATTATTATTAATCTGATTGACGTAGTTATTACGTATGCAATCTGATCACAATTATTATAGAAAAAAGTGAAATGCAGCCTAGTTGCAGCATAGTTGTTTCCCCCTTTTCCCATCGTGGTATCTGATATTTTACGAAAAGTGGACAATACATAGCAAATACCGAATAGGTATACCATTGACTTACAAATAAATGGACGACGGGTCTAATACAAAAACCACGAAAAAAATGTCCCAAGTCAACCTATTTAAACGTAGTGACATGTAAAGGAATATGAAAAAGCTAAAACGTTGAATTTAAATTGTAATGTCATCGCAGTACTGTCTAATTTTGCTTGCTTCGCTGTCAGTCGAACAAACGAAGACTAAAGCGTAAATGACGCTCTGTACCTATACGATTTTAACGCCCTATAAGTTCGGACACTTTTTAGCGCGGACCCGACGTCCATATAATTGTAATTCAATGAGGTATACTGAAAAAGTAAACGACATGCAGTACCTCAAATCGTGTTAGACAATTACGACAATAGAGATACGTATACAGAGAAAGATGGGCATTAAAAATGTATTATTATAAATTTATTGAAAAGCTGAAAGTGTTTGCTCACTGCACTCCGTGGCCGAACGGTTACCGTGCCGGACTGCCACGCAGAGGTCCCAAGTTCGATTCCCGGGCCGGGAGAAATATTTGTATGGCCTACATTTATTTCTCTCGTGAGTTTGGGTGTAATTTGTGGTTGTCTATGTGTGTGTCCATGGCACCCGCGACACAGGGTTTTCCCTAGTGCGGGGCTATGTTGAGTGTGGGCGTTATTATCACTGTCTGGTCACCGGAGGTTTCAACGAGGCTAATAGAAAGGTTGTATCCCTTAGAGACTCAGGGTATCAACCGCAAAAGTGTATAAAAATACACTTTACCACTAGCAGAGGTTAGCTTATTTGAGCCTTATGCGGTTTTTTTAAATGAAATTGACCTTGTTCTTGACAGTGGTCATGTGGGCTAGGTAGTGATCTAGCCCTAGAGCAAAGATAGGGTCTACGATAAGATAAATTTATTTCAATATAACTTAATCTAATACAATGTAAGTAAATCAAATGTAAATAAAGCTATTATAGTATTCAAATAGGAATTAACAAGGGAATCTAGATTATACATTCTTCATAGTAAAGCTATTATACATTTTAATATTAGCATCTAATGTGTAATTGCGATGCCTAAACTAAATAAATGTATACCTGTATTTTAGCCATCTTTTTGGGCAAATTCCTTTATATTACAGCTTAAAAATAGATTTTCTATATTTAACAATAAAATAATTAGTGGTTATACATTAATGGTTACCTATATAAAACAACAAATTGTAATTATGAAACAACTTCCAGCAAGTCCTGTTTCGTTGTAAGTCTTACTCTTAAGCCACAATTTGACGGTCCTTTTACATTCTATTTTGTTCATGGCGAAATAATGCAAATTAGAATTTAAATTAAAGTAAAGGAAAGTACCAAGGAAGCAAAAGAATGTATGTGAGTGTGTTGTGCGGAGTTGTGTACGAAATGAAAAGGTATCGGTCGTCCGTGGTTGGTGAAAGTAACGGAATTAAATGGAGTAATTGAGTGCTTTTTCAAAATTATTTGTTGGATAAACGGTTGCCGAAACGAGAGGATATCGCACTCATTTAGATGGATGGAACGAGCTTGTCGAGAAGATGCCTATTTAGTCCCACCGTTGGGTATGTGCTTGGAAACACAGTCGCAGGCAGGAAATTCCATTCGTAGGCCGTGCGCATAAGAAAAGATGACAAAAATCTTATTACGCCTGAAGGAAATAT